TAATCCTAGAGTTTCACCATTTATTTTCTAGTGAAACTAATGTAGGAGACTACTTTCATGTTCAGTCTGCATGACTAAATCAGAGGGACTGATTGCAATCGAAATAAACATTAAAAAAGGTTTTCGGAAAAGTACGCCTTTAATGGGGACAGAAATAAATTGTTACTAAAGAGAATGATCCTAATGGCAAAGAACTACACCTTTATCCTTTATTACACAGGCTAATCTGAAATGTCATATAGAAAAACCCATGCTTATGAGCCATTTCACATCCTAAATCAGTGTGTGAGTAGTGTGTATGAACCAGTCTTCTGTGTCTCATGGATGTTACTTGTGTCATCCTCTGGAGCACAGCTGCTTGTCTCCTGGCAACAGACTCTGGTACACAGAGCGCTGGCTGTGGCAGCAGCAGACATGTGACCAAAAACACTGCACGTTATATCACAAAGCAGGATGTGGACGTTAAATCGGTGAGCTGGAGAGCCGAGCACTACACACCCAACATAAACTCCTAGAGAAGTGAGTCTGATTCCACCTGGTTATAAAATGCAGATGGGTACACACAAAAACTTTAATACCTGGAAGTCTGTTCTGCTTTTTTAAAATACATTGGATCAAATGTTTGTTAGGCTAAATTTATTTAAGATCAGGGAAAAGGACACAAACTGTAGCTTAAATAAAATAACTGCAGGTTAAAATAACTTCATAACTGCATGGTGGCACAGCTGTTAGCACTGTTGCCTTGCAGCACGAAGGTTGCAGGTTTGAAACTCGGCTGCGGCCTTTCTGCGTGGAGTTGCGTGTTCTCCCCATGCATGTGTGGGTTTCTTCCGCGGACTCCAGTTTCCCCCACAGATCACAACATGCTCTATAGGTTATAAATTGTAAGTCGCTTTGGATAAAAGCGTCTGCCAAATAAATAGACATAATAAACATGAACATAAATAAATACATACTTGCTCAACTAAACACTTAAAAAATTGAAATTGGTCAAATAAAAAGTGAAAACAAAACAGGAATATTGACAAAATAAAAGAATGCAAATGATTCAACACACAGAGTAAAAACACCAGCTCTATTTTTGGCCAAAAAACAAAATAAAAGTGAATTTTGAATGATTTGAAAGAGCCAGTCTCAGAAGTTCACACATCAAGAGAATAATGGATTTAGAGCAGTCACAGTAAAAGGCTTCATGATTTATTTAGATCCTGGATTATTTGGATTTTAGTTGATAAAAATCCAGGTGGTGACTCTTTTTTTGGCCAGGCAGTGAAGCTCAAAGGTTTACTCAACTTGGTTCAAATAAACTTTAACTGGTGTAAATGTTCACTTGGGCTTCAGTGCATTCACAATGCAAGATTAAATGTTTAGTTCATTTATAACCTAAAACTAAGAATGTGACTTTTTGTTACCGTTTAGTCCTATGTTAACAACATCCCTCAAAAAATGGATGGAATTGTTGGAATTCTGTCAGGAATGAGGGACAGCTGTGAAATCTTTAAAAATGAGTGTGAATTTAAACCAAACAAAAAGAAACAGCAACAACAGATAAAAAAACCCTACAGCTTTTCTGTATAATTTAGGCTTCTTTTGCCATCACATCTATAACAATCTTCATTGAACAAGATTTATTTGTTGGCGTTTATGGTAAAACTCCCACTTACACTAAGGTGAACCCCAACCATAAATCACAAAATAACGAAAACAGTGCCGAACTGCTCAATAAAAAACTCTCCTTATTCCCCGTGTCATAAAAAATAAAAAAACTTATTTCATAGTTTCACACATTTGATTTCTGATAATAGTTTTGCAATTTTATGCTGTATCTATCAATCTAACGATGGTGCGACGATAACAGAGGAGTTAATGGCCTGGGGTCTCATTTATCGAACATTGCGTAGAATCCTTACTAAAACTAACTGTACTTAAGCTCAGCAAAAAAATAATGTACTTATGCCAAGTAGGTTTGTGATCTATCAAACATGGAGTACGCACAGCTGCACACAATCTCCGCTTCATAAATCAGAAACTATCTAGAATGTTTCTCAGCTGCTTTTTAGTCACATACCGCCCTCACCACGCCAACTTACTGCCATAAACAGTCAATGCAAAGTGCCTTGTGGTTCTCATGCATATACATAAGCCGGCTGTTGCAGCACTCCGCCAATGACATGGCGACCGTAGATCAAGACAGATCAAGGAAGCGCAATTTCACAGAAGCAGAAGTTGAGGTATTTGTGGGTGAGGTGGAGAAATTAAAGGAAGTTCTTTTGCAAAACACATAAGAGAAAATCCACGGAGTGGCACAGCGTTGCTGAAGCCGTCAATGTTGTGAATTCTTCAGAGAGACCTGTGGCGGAAATAAAAAACTGGCCCAATCGGTATTTGATCCCCAGACTCCCGGGTGAAAGTCAGGCGCACTAACCAGTCAGCCAAACAGGAATCTCCCTTGTCCAAATAGCCAGGGCATATGATCAATCGGGTCACAGTGACAGGACGCTCACACTGTCACAGACGCATGACATTCTGTCTCAACCTGTCCCCCTGTCCGTATTCTGTGCTTCAGGCTGTGTGTGTGTGTGTGTGTGTGTGTGTGTGTGTGTGTGTGCATGTGTGTGTGTGTGTGTGTGTGTACGCGTGTGTGTGAGTGTGGGGGTCTTGTTCTGTGTGAAAACGAAGCAGTACAGGTGATAAAGCTGCTGGATTTCATAATTTTATCCTTCTCGGCAGCAGCACTGCAGGTGCTCTCTATGTCCAAAATGTGCATAAGCCAGGTCCTTAGTCAACTTAAAGTTGCGCACATTTTTTCGCTAAGTTTTCTTTCATAAATCCCAAAGTTTGCGTGGAAAGTTGCTTACACAGTTTGCCGACCCCATTTTGTGCGTAAGCAAGCTTGATAAATGAGGCCCCTGCCCTGTACCTGCCGAAGGTTGCAAGGTCGAGCCCCGTCTGTCGAAGTCTTTTGTGTCCTTGGGCAAGACACTAGCCCGGGGGTCAGCAACCCGTGGCTCTGGAGCCGCATGCGGCTCTTCCATCCATCTGATGCGGCTCTCTGTGCTTGTAAAATAATAAATGGATATTTAAATAAAATGCTTTATATTTTACTGCATTAATTTTACACCTGTATGCCAATTCTAAATGTAAAGATTGTCTGCGTAAACCTGAACAGGTCCAACCCGGTCTTACTGTGAGACCGGGTTGACGGGTCACGCTTGTGCGTAATAGGCGCTTTCTGAGCTGACGAGGATGTGAGATTCTGGGCTTCTCCTCAGACGGCTCCTGGATGCGTCGCCACATTGGAGACAGGAACAAGTGCTATTCAGCCAAAGTTTCATAATCAGGGAACATTTTCTAAGTGACAAGTCTTGCTTCAGTCGGAGGAATCTTCCTGCATGCGCTCTGGTTCTGCGACGCGCTCCAAGCCCCTCTCCACATCTTCAGCTCGCTGTAGACCGAACGTATGCGCTGACAGTGAGCTGCGCTGAGCAGTGTCCAGCTCAGATGTTCAGATGGGAATCAATTATTGAGTGATTTAGCTACATCTGCGATGTGCGAAACGAATAAAGTGTCAGTTCGTCTGCATACGTCGGGGTTATTCTTTCTATTCTTTCTCCGTCAAAATAAACGGTCAAATACGGGAACTATCCAGTCAACACAAGCCCTGCTTTTAACTGTTCTGTTTTCTTGTGAAAATTGTTGCAAAGAGATACAATTTAACTTGATTAACACCAGAGCCAGGCGCACTGCGTCGTTATCTCCGTCACTGTAAATGAGGGAAAAACAAAATGATCGGATCCTTTTCTGACCTTCCCCACCTACAAAGTTTAATTACAACAATCAAACGGGACAGAGCCTGGATTTGTATTCTGAACTGTCTAAACATGTTTTAAAAAGAAATGTATGACAAAAGTGGCACCTGCTCAGTAAAACCACCAACAGGGTGAAAAATATCAAAATATTGTAGGCAGAGACGGGCTACAACTTCTGGATCCATTTTATATAAATTGTTTTATTGATTATCGTCTTATGAAATATAGCTTTGACGTACACGAGTGACCGGTACTGGCTGCAGTCACCTGTTGTGATTGGTTAAAGCAGCTCTCTGCTGTCTGAGGGTAGGCCCCGCCCACAACGCCGCAGCTGCTGTGGCTCCCAGTGTTTTCTTTACTGTGGGAAACGGGTAATAATGGCTCTTTGATGGGAACAGGTTGCCGACCCCTGCACTAGCCCATCTTGCCTGCTGATGTTGGACAGAGCGACCAGTAGTGCCTGCGCTCAGTAGCCTCACTGCCGTGAGTGCCACCCACGGGTATCTGAGTTAACATTGTAGCTCATCACCACCAGTATGTGAATGTGTGTGTGAATGGATGAAGAACTGTTTGTGTTGTAAAGCACCTTGGGGGGTCCAGAACCCTACAAGGCACTACATCAAATGCAGGCCATTTACCATTTAACAACTGGTGCTCTAAAAAACAGAAAACCTGAGAGGTTTACTGCTGAAAAATGGATTAGGAGTTCAATTTTTAATCCTGATTTATGCCTCAAACACACACACACACACACACACACACACACACACGCACACGCACACACACACACACACACACACACACACACACACACACATATTCACACGCGCACACGCACACACAAATATGAATGAGGTTAAAGTTTTAAATAAGAAGCTTAATGGATTACTGCAACCACTGAACTCCATCCCACCATAAACTTTCCACAATGTGCAGCAATGCTGTGAGATATCAGTATCATTCACGTCATCGAGCAGAACATCAAAGCTTAATCACATCTTTTGGTAATGCCAGACACAGAATTCACAGGTTACCATGGTAACACATCTCCAAATAGCTACTGTGGTCATAGAAAGTGACACAAGAAATTAGTCTGTTTTGGATGCACTTAAAAATCGTTGATCAATGGGAAACACGTGAAAAGTTTAGGGTTGACTTTTAATGCAACAAGTCACATATGAAGGTACTTACTTCTTATTTTGGTTTTCCTTTCGGTCGGCTGAGCCAAGACTCTGAGGGAAAAAAAGAGACATAAGGAATCAGCATTAGGGTTCCATGTCCTTCCATCTTTAGGATGTAAAATAAACGGCTTGGAAATGGATGGGTTTGCACACACAGTTAGAGGTTTCACACCTCGACTGTCCTGGATCTGATAACCAGCTCAGTGCATAACTGGAAGCTTTTATCCTCGTTTTAAGAAGAGCAGACGAGTGAGATATTTTTAAAAACCGTGTCCCTAAAGATGAAGTCAACCAAGTTCAGAATCTAAAAGTACAAAACTGATACGTCCAGCCAGCTCTGCTCATCTGGAGACATCCAACTTCATCCCTCTGGTACAGTCAAGCTTTCAGGTGCACAATATAATCATCTACACACACACACACACACACACACACACACACACACACACACACACACACACACACACACACACACACACACACACACACACACACACACACACACACACACACACACACACACACACACACACACACACACACACACACTGTCCTCCTGCTGCCCACATCCTCTGGAGAGGATGGTGAGTGCAAATGAGACCCAAAGACACATTCGGTCCACATGCTAACATCACTGTCTTTAGGCTGGAGACATTTATGGAGTGTTGCATTTCTAGAAATAACACTAATCCATTACCACAACCCCCACCATGTTGCACCAGCAGCAGCATCTGGGGACTCAGCAGGGAAATGAAGGCCTGGGGAGACAGCTCAGTCAATCACGAATAAGCCCCTAAGCCTAAAATAACATTCAAAAGTTCAAAAATGGTTTCAGTTCCTCAACCTTTGAAATAATGCATCAAGATTTCATCCGAACAAATGGCTGAGCTAATTTCTGAACTTTATATGAACAGATCCTGATAAATAAATAAATAAATAAATAAATAAATAAACGGTAAAATGCATCAATTTCCTTTGAGTTTCAAAGGCACCTTGAAAGATAAATATTATTTTCAGCATGGATGTCTGTGACGGTGACATTTTAACCATAAAGAGACCACTCGGACGCTCTGAGTGAGTGTGCATGCTGACATTTCAGCCACTATGTGAGGTTTCAGTGGCTATATGATGCCTTCATATGGTTTCATCCTCCTAGTTGGGGGGAGGATATGACCTTTCACCCCATCAGCTGCCTTGCTGGGCTCTCAGGTAGTACCACTCTCCTCAGAGGGGAGACAGTAGGTGGGTGGGCTTCGTTTGACAGACAGACCTGTGAAGGGTGGAGGACGACTAGTTAAGGATTATCTATGCCTCTGAATCAACGATTGGCCCCAGCTAAACTGAACCATTCACATTTTACTAGCAGCATTAATGCAGAAACAACATTAAATGTAGTTTCAAATTTATTTTTTTTACAATGTTTTTAATTTCAGTTATAATTGAGAAATTTCTAAATTAGGGATGAAAGAAAATATCGATATCGCAATATATCGTGATGCATTGTATCGTCTCCCCGAATCATAATACGTATCGTATTGCCAGAATTTCGCCAATACACATCCCTATTCTAAATGTGTTTTTGTCATTTCAGCTTCTTACCAAACCAGTCCAGCTACAGTTAACCAAGAAGAACGGGTTTAAAATGCACAGTTGGCTTCAATATTGAAGCTGGAGCAAAGTTTTCAGGAAAAAATATGCTTATCTTCTCGGTGGCCTGGTGGTAGAGTGTCCACCCGAGGACTGGGAGATCACGGTTCAATTCCGGTCTGGTCTTACCAAAAGCTTTAAAATAGGGACCCTGCTTAGCACTCAGCTTTAAGGGGTGGGACTGGGGGGTTAAACCACCAAATAATTCCCGAGTGCAGCCTCAGCTGCAGCTCACCTCTTCCTGTGGAGATGGGTCAAATCCGGGGATGTAATTTCACCAGTGTGTGATGACTAATAGGACTTTGACTTTATGTTTGTAGAAACCTTTTTGCTGATTTAAAGTGTTATTGAAAATTAAGGAAATATACAAATAAAGCGGTTAGTTCAGATAAATTTGGAGCCCTTTAACGTTTTAACCTCACACCTTCAATAACGGAGCTGCATTCATCTTCATCCCGGTGAAGTGCTGTCCAGTAAATGCTGCTGCACTCAAGTGAATCCAGTTTATCTCTGTACACTTCAGAATTCCACCGGCTGCATCTGTCATATCATCAATAAACACCAGTGATTTTCTCTTCTGTTGGAAGCCAAACATGTCCATGCTATCACTCTGCCTCCACATGTTCTACAGATGATATGTTGTGTACTTTGGACCATGAGTCATATAATTTATTTTTACCTCCTGCTGCAGGTAGATTCCTGCCTATTTTTAAGGTAAAGTTTAAGTACTTTATTTCTCTTTATGGTAGACGTATGAAAGTGACTTCCTCTTGGATGGATCTTAATGGAACTATAATGAACAAGGCATTGTTGACCATGTGTTTTATTAACTACAAGTTTTAGTTCATTAAGAATCTGTCCGATACACTATTTTGATTTGGCAAGCCTTTGCTTTCAGTTTTGCACTGGCACTCCACTAGCTAAATGTTAACAGCAGCAGCTTTCAAATAAAAGTTTCAATTGGAGATCACTTTAGTGTTTTCTATTTAAGTTCAATCTTTTTTTTTTCAGTACATTTGCAGTGGTCTCTAGTACAATGGTTCCCAACTTTTCTTCCTTGAGGTCCCCTTGCTAGTGTCCAAGACAAGCTAGGATCCCCACCATCAACTCCTACCCTCAGACACACTTTAAAATTAATTTATTAAAAACCTTATACTTTAAATATACTATCATTCATCCCCTCTGCAGTAAGACTCGTTTTAAATGGTACTGGCATTATCCTGTTACACAATAACATCAATGCAATTTTCACTAAGTGTTCAATACTTGTGCAACGCCAGATGTACATTTGGATGTCTGTGACCTTTATACTGCATAGTTCTGGAAACACAAGATTTCTTTTAATTTGTTGTTTTTAGTGGTTGAAGGTTATAATAATGTGGACTCCAAAGCGCTTTACACTACAGTGTATCATTCATCCATTCACACACACATTCATACACTGGTGGAGATGAGAGGCGAGGCTGCCGAGCACAGGCGCCACCGGACCCTCCGACCACCACCAGCAGGCAAGGTGGGTTAAGTGTCTTGCCCAAGGACACAACAGCAGAATTCTCTGTCCGGAGCCGGGATCGAACCTGCAACCTTCCAATTACTGGACAACCCGCTCAACCTGTTGAGCTACTGCTGCCCCGATAATACAGTCTTTTCTTTATAGAGATTTTAGAAATGCAATTTTTACAAGTATAATCTTGCTAACCTCAGCATAGACACAATTGTGGGGATCCCTTGTAATCTCTAGTGACCCCTTGTGTCGTGGAACCCCGATTGGGAACCACTGCTCTAGTATAAATGAATGCCCTGTGAGTTGATCTCTGTTGAAAAAAAAAGCTCTAGTGCTCCTGTTTCAAGAAGTAAAAGTTAGCCAGAGGAGTAAGAAGCAAAATAAGGCATGATTTTGAGTCAGCTGTGAAATCACATGGAGTACACCAAAAGCAGTGAACTAGGTATTTTAAAAAATCCTCAACAAGTTCACAAAACGGATTTAGTTGAACTGGTCTACCTATAGCTGACGATCTGTTCTTATAACCATTACAGGCCAGCACCAAAAGGAGAATGGCAGACTACTAGCCTGGCTAACCATCCTATATATGTGACTATATATTTTGGCCACAACCCTATAGGAAAAGCTCAGCTGTGTGGTGGAATCTACCGTTGTCTTTCAAACCGTCTCTGCAGGCTACTGGACAACAAACAATTGGACGAACTCGCCCCTAAAGACTCACCACTAAAGATGACACAAATACATCCTGAGGACTCAAGCATCTATATCTACTACTGACTCGAAGAAAAGTCCATGCCAATTGTCAAAAACTGATGTGAAAACTGATGCCGAAGTTGTTTCAAACGAGCCACCACCATCACCTGTAGGTGATTCTCCTAATACTGTTACCTAGGTTACTCTGTGCCCTCACCGACTGTGCAATATTACCAGAGTTCTGATTGTAAATATGTTTTTATCCCCTCCTCATATCATATGCTGCTACAAACCCATATTCTATTACACAATACTTTAATCACTTTTGTGAATCGCCTACACCGACGACTTAATTACTTATTCACAAGGATGCAGTCATGTATTTAATTATTGAGATATGCGATTGTTTGTTTTGTACTATCCTACATGGTACTACTGCAGATCTTTTTTAATGTATATATTGTATATCATATTTCTATTTCACCTGTTCCTTTGTCTCTCCGACTGCTTTGAGCATGTACATGACACAAGAATTTCCCTCGGGATAAATAAAGTTGTTCTTATCTTATCTTATCTTAGTTGTTCATCATCCCGCCTACTAAATGGATAGAGTGCTGTGATTGGCACTCCACCAGATTGGTCAGAGCTGTGGAGATTCCAATGGAGCGTGGCTACACCAACATGCAGAGCAAAATCGTTTTGCTTCTGCTGCTGTCCTTCCAGATTTCTGTACCATGTAATCCCCCCATTTCTCAATATTTAATTCTAAACTTCCATATGAAAGGTGAAGGGGGCATGCATTTCTTCAATGAATTGTAGGTCTAATTCATTGTGTAACAGAAATCAGATGAAGTCACGTACGTCTTTTAAATTCGGGTGTGTCTTCATTTGTTTAGGTGTAAAACCGTCCGAAATCTAACTTTACAGTAGCTGTTTAAGTATGGGACTTACCGATGCGATAGAGGTTAGTAATGATGAATATGAAAGGGAATCAACCAGTCTATCAATCATCCCACCATTAGATCACAGGTTACTGCATCCACCTAGCCCCTTTCTCAGTAAACGTGTGCACAGAAGCAGGTGTGTGAGGGAATGCCTTTACAGCAGGCACCAAGACAAACTTCCCTTACAGCTGTGAAATCACACGGAGTACACCAAAAGCTGTTTCCTGCAAAACGCCTCAAAGGCATAATCTCCTTAGCATGTGCTCTTTCACATAATGGCTCACGAGCAAACAAAAACACAAAATAAGCTAATTTTACACAGAGTTAAAAATGCACCAGAAAACCAAAAGAAACACACCATCGTAGAGGAACAAATTCACTTTGCATCCATTAATTCCAGCGTGCGTACACATACCTGTCGAGTCTAACGTCACTCCACTCTGCCTGTCTTGCCTCTATGTCTGCTTACGGAAATCTAAAGTCCTCAGAGCAGCTTTTAAATCTGCTGCATCACCTGTTCAACTTCAACTCCTCAGCCCGGCTCTCCTGCCTTCCTGCATTAATTCTCTATTTTCCTGCTTTCTGTCTAAAGCTGTTGGTTATTCGAAGGATTTTTCGAAAGCTTGCTCCTATGGTGGCTGCAACCGCCACTGACTTGTTGTACTTTAATTGTGGTTGCTAGGCGATAAGCTTCTCCAATTCAGCACCCAGAGTGGAGGGGAAGAAAGGATCGGAGCAGGGGGGGGGAGTGAGAGAATAGGTGGTGGGGGTGAGGAGGAAATGCTCGTTATAGGCACAGGAGCACAGAGCGTATGATCCGAAGGGAGGTGTTACAGGAAGGGATGAAGTTGTGCCGATGATAGATGGATAGGAGTTGTTTCCTTTCATTCTCACCTTTTAAAGTCTGAAGTGAAAACTTTGATGAGAACTTACTGTAAACACAGCAACCCTAACCCCAACATACGTGTTCAACAGGTGTCTAAAGCTGACTCAAACTTTGGTATATCACTTTCCTATTTATAAGTTCAAGTTGAATTTGCAACTCCTACAGGTAAGTTAAGAGCTGATGCTGTTAGTTGAATAACAGCTTTTAACACTAATTTATCAGTTTGAAACAATATTTCCTGACAGAAACACCTCACCCACTCACAATCACTGGCATGAAGACAATACCTGTTTTTCACACGAACTGATGGGCTTAAATTGGCAGTTTGCTCTGAAGGGAGTTTAAATTTGGAAAAAAAGGTAGAGAGAAATGGTGATGAAATCTGATTCTTGGTAGATTCATCCAACTTTACTTTATGGAGGCAAACAACCTGCTAGTCAGGCTTTAGACAACACCACAGCACTGAGGCTGCAATGATTTTTAAATGATATTTGTCTAAATACAAATTCAGGCAAAACATCTGCCCTAATGATGCTCAATCACAGCTTTTGATACTGTGGACCACAACATCCTTCTTAGGCTCATAACCTGGGTGAGACTTTCAGGCACAGTCCATAGTTGGTTCCAATCTTATCTGAAAGACAGTGACTATGTTGTTTCTACTGGTGATCACAAATCAAAGCTGATCACCATGACATGTGGTTCAATTCTAGGACTTGGAACTTTTCAATCTCTATATGCTCCCCCTGGGTCAGGTCATACATAATAACAGCATTATCTATCATAGTTATGCAGATGACACCCAGATCTACCTAGCTCTATCACCTAGTGATGTGCTCCCCTAGACTCACTCTATCAGTGTTTGGAGCCAGTTAAGGATTGGATGCACTCAAATTTCCTCCAGTTAAACAAACACAAGACGTACGTTACTGTCTTTGGAAATAAGAAGTATAGGACGGAGGTTATTGCTCATCTTGGCTCCAGAGGAATAAAGACAAAGACCCAAGTTAGAAATATTGGTGTCGTAAGTGATTCAGACCTTAGCTTCACTGTTCACATTAAGATCATTGTTTTATCATCTTCATCAAATAGCAACACTCAGGGGTCTCATGTTCAGACCAGACCTAGAGGAACTCATTCATGCGTTCATACAGGCTGGACTATTGTAATGGTCTTTTGACTGGTCTTCCCAAAAAAGCTGTAAAGCAACTGCAGCTTATTCATTACTGCTACTGCTAGAGTCTTAACAAGAACGAAAAGATCTGAACACATCACTCCTGTTCTTAAATCTCTACAACGGTTACCAGTTAACTACAGAATACATTTCAAAGTGCTTCTACTGATTCATAAATCACCCAATGGCAGGGGGCCAGAGTTCATGTCAGATCTCGTTCAGGTATATATGCCCAGTAGGGCTCTGAGGTCCTTAGGAAACAGTCAGCTGGAAGAACCTTGGGTCAGAACCAAACACGGTGAAGCTGCTTTTAGCTACTTTGCTGCACACAAATGAAATCAGCTTCCTCATGACCTCAAATTTGCCCCAACTCTGGTAACTTTTAAATCAAAATTGAAAAACTTCATGTTTTCATCAGCCTTTGAATGACTGTTCTTATGCTGCACCTTCTGCACTGCATGTTCTCACCCTTTAATTTTGTTGTTTCATTTTCATTTTTAAATTGTATTTTCTGTTGATTTTAATGTTCTTGCTATTCTTGCTAATGGAAACCACATTGAAGTGTCTCGGTTTATTAAATGTGCTATATAAATAAAGCTGCCTTGCCTTATTTCAAGCCATATAGTAACAGCTATTAATTACTATTAATTACTAATAACTAACTTACGAGTTTTAAGACAATGGTGTCTGAATAAATAATCCATAAGTCAACTTTTGGAGGGGTCACCACAATCAGACATAATTAGGACACTTAGCAACAACTAAATTGTGCACCTCTTGCAAATATACTGTTTGCCCAACATGAACTGGCCAAATATTCAAGCTCATGCCAACGTTTTGTATACCAATTGAGTGAGATTCCAAATGACATTTCTAGTCAAAGCCCAGTGAGATTCTGTCTATAGGCAAAAACATCTGCAGTAAACTCATGGCCAAGAAATCTAAACAGACAGTAGCCAAAGCAACTAATTTGCTCAGTAGGTCGGTCTAGCAACACCGATAGGAACTTCAGCAGGTCTACCTGAGCAGTATTGTGTTATGCCAATCACAGCAGTCTATCGGTTTGGTGGATAAATCACAGTGCTCTATTGATTTGGTGGGCCAATTACAGAGCTCAGTTGGTTTTGTGAGCCAATCACAGAGCTCTATCGGTTTTGGTGGGCAAATCACAGCACTCAGTTGGTTTGGGGGGACAATCGCGGCATTTTATCGGTTTGGTGGGTCAATCAGAGCACTTTATTGGTTAGGTGGGTGGGATGATGTGATGGAGCAGAACAACTAAGATGATGGTGGCTCGTTTGAAATGGCTTTGGCATCAACTTTGGACTATTTATACTTGGGCTTTTCTTTGAGTCAAGAGCAGATAGAGATACTTAAGTCCTTTATTTAGAAAATGGATGTATCTGTCTTTTTCAACAGTGTATGGTGGACTGCCTCGTTGACTGACATCCATAGTGGATGAGTAACTCACGTTGTTTGTTGTCCTATAGCATGTGGAGACAGTTTGAAAGACAACTGCATATTCTGCCCCATGACTGAGCTCTGTCTATGAGTCGTGGCCAGACTATATATTCACATATATATGAAGGCTTACCAGGCAAGTGAACTCCTGCTCCTACAGCCAAAACAACATCATACAAAATCAATGAATGGCATAATCATTAATTAGAAACATGGGAAACTGGGCTTAACTTGGGTCTTCTGTGTTCCACTATGTCACACCTGCTTGATGCTTGTTTTTATGGAATTTAGTGGTTGATGATAAACACAATAAAATCAGATTAAGTGTGACTCAGGATGAACATTTCTGTAACAACAGTCCAACAGCACATGTTGCTCTTTAATCCATGAACTGCCTTTCCAGATTTAGTTGACCTTTTTAGGGGACATTTGGCCTGTGATATCCTCAAGGCAAACTCTTTGTATGAACATGGAGGCTTTGCTTAACTGACTTGTGAACCATAAATAGGCAAATCTTCACTTCTGCGCGTCACTGCTGTCAAATGTTCATTATTTATTTAGACTGAGTCAGTCTCCTTTCAATTAAATTTCAGTAAAAAAAGCATTTCCTACGTCATTTAAAAAAAAATCATGTAATGTAGCTGCTAGTGAGAACAGTACCACACAAACTAATGAATAATAAAGTGTTACGGTTGCCAGTCTGGCCAGTGAAGGGCAGGGGCTAACCCCCCTCTCTTTGCTGGTTTGTATGTGCTTCTGCACATGTGCTTAATCTGCCCGCCCGCGACGTGCATGAAGATTAGGGATTTTAACTAGCCTGTTTTGTTTTATCTGGGGCTCTCTTGTTTTAATCCTCCAGTGTCTTCGTCCCTCAGAGTCTTCGTCTCCTTCGCCCTTCGAGAGTCTTCGTTCCCTTCGCCCTTCGAGTCTTCATCCCCTTCGCCCTTCGAGAGTCTTCGTCCCCTTCGCCCTTTGAGAGTCTTGGCCCCCTTCGAGAGTCTTGGCCCCCTTCGAGAGTTTTCGCTGCAGCCCCCTCATCTTCGCCCCCCCCCCCTCCCCCCCATCTTCGAGTCTTCACCACCACCACCACCCCAATCCTCCAGAGTTTTTTTTTTTAAGTTTTAAAAGTTGGTAGTGTGTTATTACTAACTTTTATCCTTTTTCTTTCGTTTATGTGTGGGGGTGTTACGGTTGCCAGTCTGGCCAGTGAAGAGCAGGAGCCAGGGTCATCCAGCTCTAGTGAATGAGCCTGACACCGCCCCTCCTCCTCCTCCTCTCTCCCGGGCTGCTGAGGAGCACAGCTGAGCTAAATCTTCCTGATGAGCAAACACCTGTATAAAATGGCTGTGCCTTCAGCAGTCTGGGAGGCAGCAGTGCAGGGGTTCTGCTGTCCTCCCGGTTTTTGTTTGGTTTGTACCCCTTTCGTTCAGATGAGTTTTAACTTTGGTAGTTTTTAACTCTTAGTGATGAGTTTTGGATGATCCAGTGGGATCTTCTCGATCCCCAGTGAGTCATGGAGGATGGCTGCTTATCCTGAGCCAGGATTCTCTGGAGGTTTCTTCCTGTTAAAAGGGAGTTTTCCTCTCCACTGTCACTTTATGCTTGCTTAGTGTGAGGATTGCTGTATAGTCACTGACACTAGTCAGTGACTTGATGCAATTTGCTGGGTTCCTTATATAGGAAACATTATTTCTGATTGGCTTAATGAACTGACCTGAATTGGAATGTTTATTATGTGAAGTGCCTTGAGACGACTCTTGTCGTGATTTGGCGCTTTATAAATAAACTTGAATTGAATTGAATCTTTTTTGCAGTTTGGTTTTAAGGTTAACTTTGTTTGTGGCAGTTTTACTGACCTTGATTTTAAACACCTTCGTTGTGGTAAAGCTTTTTAAAATAAGTTTTTACCAGGTGTTTTAGTCAGTATATTGTTTTGGAACTTTTATCAACTTCGGGATTTCAAAACACCTTCTGTTCGGTTAAGCTTTTGATACAAGCTTTAACCAGGTGTTTTATAGTTGATAATTTGCTGTGTAATGTTAACCTTTTTCAGAGTTTTAGAGAGTTCTGTTTGTTTTGCATTATTTTATAATGCACCGTCGTCATCTGTTTGCACGTTTTTAAAACCTTTTTGTTACAATAAAACTCTTTTAATATCCACTGTCCAGTCTTCTGTTACCCCCATCCTTCACTTTTTAACAACACCTGTCGGGGACGTAACATAAAGGTTGAATGTGTCATCATTTGTTTTTGGACTTCCTTTTTAATTATTAAAGTTAATTCCCTTAGTTGTATTAACATTAAGTCAGTTTCATTCTACATGCTAAAGTATCTTTAAAAATGATGGCACTTTTGGTTTTGAATGATGTTTTTTAATGAAAAAAGAAAAGACTGAACACAACGATGTCTTGAAACCTTAATCATAATGACAATGAACTTGAAGGTGACAAAGAAACTACAGCTGTACTGCTTTTCTGTTAAATCTCAGCATGTTTCCAAATTGCCTTCCTCACTTAAAAATAGGCTCACCTTCCATTTTCTAAAGCAGACAACGGAGGAGATACAAGCACCATGCCTGCACTGCTGAAGAGCCGCAGCAGGATGCCCAATCAACTGTCAGTCAAATGAAATCACCACATTTATTTGCATTTTGTCCACATACACAGTTAGAACCCATACATGCAAATGCACACACCACTTTGGGTTATGCACATGTTTAGCAGGGGCTCTTGGTGGGGATCTGGGTACCCTTTCCCTGCAGGCTCCAGGGAGAGGAGAGGGAGTTATCAGGATGAACACACACTCACTTCATGCTGGTGAAGCAGATATATCTTGGTTTTAATTTTACATTCAGGAATCATACAAAAGCTTTATATTCTGCAGACATATTGTTTAAGAGTCTATAAGCATGTTTTAGAACAACAGAGGCAACTAAACTGAGTAAAATGTTGTTGTTTTTTTACTGATCGATGCCGTAATCCTAATTTTATCCTCAGGGCTGAGTTTTCATGCTCTAGAGCTTGTTTGCAGCTGTCATTGCAAAGTGTCTGAAATAAAATGGAATATTTCAGCTATTTATTTTTATTAAATGAACAAAACTCTGGTGAAGAAAACAGAGGAAAGATGTTGTCAATAAAACAAAAACACAATTTAAAGTCTGAAGGGAACAATTTCCCATTTTCAACAGAGAAATACTCAAATGAATGCACAGTTGATGTGAAGAACATGAATAGAGTGCTTTTCCTTCTTCTGCACTCCCTTTTACCATTGGGACTTTATAAAAAACACACAAACTTCAATGGTGCAGAAATAAGACACCCAAAAACCGAAAAGGAACAAAGGTGACAGGCACTTAACTGGACAGACGGCTTCATCAAATGAACAGGAAGCAGGTTTGTTAGTGGACACACAGGCAGGTGTATGCAAAGAGAAAAGGAGGAACATGAATGTGCTGTCTGATTGCACCAGCGGATCTCTAACTGTCAGCAGCCCGGAGTGACAGGGTGGGTCTTCTAGCCCTCTGCCTCAGTGTCTCCACTTTTACTGTTTCTTTATTTGTACAGGATTCCCCTCCCAAGTCTTGTGGTCTCGGGACCAAAGGGACCAAAACATGGCTCATAAATCAACATAGCAGAGACTATGGATATTAACCCATAAATCAGTGCGGCGGAGCCACCTACAATCAGGCTAATAGGGCTGGAAGACGTGCTGTCATCCAAGCCATGATGTCACTGAGCCTTAGTCTGTGGGTGTTGATGATGGTGGTTGGTCTAGCTGTGTGTGTGTGTGTGGGGGGGGGGGGGGGGGGGGGTCTACAGAATGCAGGTATTAAGCTATGTGTGTCAGAGGGGGTGTCTGGATGTTTGGTGGTAGGTCTACAGTTCTGCTTATGTAAGTGTCTGCGGCGTTTGTTGTATGTGGGAGGTAGGATGTCTGCTTATATAGGTTTATATGCATGGGGTGGTCAGTGAGGTGTGTGTGTGTGTGTGTGTGTGTGTGTGTGTGTGTGTGTGTGTGTGTGTGTGTGTGTGTGTGTGTGTGTGTGTGTGTGTGTGTGTGTGTGTGTGCATGCATACATGTCAGCATGAAGTTTTATGACAGTATCTTTTTTATTCTCTTTGCATTTTAATAACCTATATTCACTAAAACGCACGCACACACACACACACACACACACACACACACACACACACACACACACACACACACACACACACACAGAGCATATTTTGACACTAGACGTACAGATGCACATGCGTACACTTGGTTTCTGTGGTTATTGCTGGCTCACAATGGGTGTGGGATTCCATGGAGAAAATCTAAACAAGTCGAGCGGTTAACACGGGTCTGCCACGTTTCCACACAACGTTGCTCATTGACATAAATAACGGGGCACTTTGTGAAATGGGACACCCGTTAACTTCTCCCCCACAGATAATTACCCATTAGATCTTGGAGGAGCACTGGATTGAGAAATAACTCAGCTCAGACGCTAACTTGTAATAATATTAAGAGAAAAAAAGTTGCATTGTGAAACGGGCCTGGAATCCGTTAAGATGGGCTGGCTTTCTTTTTCTGTAACATCATACAAGCCAAGCGTTTGGATTATCAACAAAGAAAAATTAGGGCTTGTCGTAGAAGCTCTGCAGTCTGTGCCTTTGCTTAAGCTGCACTTTGAACACGGAAAACTATGACAACAAGGGAAAAAAGAGCTGGAAATTAGGAAATAAGATCAAAGACAGGAATAAATTATTGCAGAAAAATGAAAATGTAGCAGTGAAAAAAGCAGAATATAAAGAAATAAAAGAAGTAAGCAGAATAAATAACCGTTTTCTTTGCAACTTGTTTTACAAGCTTTAGCATGTTTCTTAAAAGTCAGTATGAGCAGGTCTGATGACTCAAAAACGCCTCAAATGCATCCAAAACTGGTGCCACTTGTGACGCGTTCACTTTACTTATAGACACTAGTGACGGCAGCTTTCACCTTTTGATAACTCACTGCATATATTCTGCTGTTGTAGCTGTCGTTGTTGTTGTCAGCTTCACATGTTCCCTGTAAATGGATGTGCCCATGTCATTTCACTTCCATTTACTGTCATCCGCCCTAACTCTGTGCACATCTTCCGATTTATACGTGTCACAACAGCGTGACAAATGATCGGAGTGCATGAGTCACTCACTAAACCAAATGCCTTCTGCCTACATCCCTCAGAGCGTACCACACACAGCACTTAAACAGATGCAGCGGCAGCACGGCGTGAGTCAATGTTGATGACGACAACAACAATCATCATTATGGTTCAACCTGGGTAAAAGGCTCTAAACGCAGCTGTATGACACATTAGACCAGACAGACTTACCAGTAGACGGGTCAATAAAATCACTCGATAAACATAACAGTTGCAAGGGAAATTCACAATTCAAAGTAAACATGAAGTATATTACAAAAATGAGCTTGGATTGAAAAAAAAAAAAGCTTTGATATTACAAGTGCATTTCTACTCTTAGTATCCAATCAGGAGGGCTCTTGCTGCCCTCCACACCTGGTTTACAGAGGAAAGTGGTCTCTTGCATCATTTACCGTGATATTCTGTTATTTTATCCATGTTGCATTTTGATCTAATCTAATTTTGAGCTGCCGTAATTAAAACTAAGGTTCCATTTTATCCTGCTCATAAACTTTATGAAAACATGACATGGAATAAAGTTTAATGCTGCATAGCTTGTTGTTAGCGGCATCTATTCATTTTGTTCTTTAACTTGAACAAGGTCAGGCCTCAAAGGCTACAAATCCAGAAATCCCTCTTCTTAAGAATCCCAAAGTATTCCCTGGCCAGTGAGAACAAGTCATCCTTCCAGAGAGTTTTGGGTCTGCCCCGGGCTTTTCTTCCAGTCAGACATGCCCCCAAAAAACCTACAGAACGAGGAAACTGGGACAAAACTCCA